GAATAGTTAATTCTGCTGTAAGTGTATTTATGATATGTATGTTTAAGAAGTGATACTGCTGCATGCATAATTTGGGTTTCCTTCTTTATTCTTTGCTCTTTAATGTTTGTATGATTGATGATTATGGAGCTCGAGTTGCATATGCATTGAGAAAGGTGCTTATACCTTTCTTGCATTCATAAACAGTAAAAGTAAGGCATAACATCAATAACTTCCCTTATAATTTTTACTGTTAATACCTGTTATCATATTTCACCAAACAGACCTTATGTTACTTTCCTAATGCCCCTTTATTTGGAGCTCAAAGTCTGATATTAGATTACTCTAAATGGTGACATGCATAAATGCAGTACAAGATGAGAGAGTTCCAAATGAGGGAGTTCCAGCTTGGTTATGGTGTACGTACTGTGAGGTCCCATGGAGCTTCACTTGCAAAGACACACATGCATGATTGGCTTATACTTCTGCTTCTTGTGGTGATAGAGTTCATCCTCTATCTCACGCCTCCATTTTATCGATATGTTGGGAAAGATATGATGACAGATCTTAAATACCCTTTGTTAGATAATACAGTGCCTGTTTGGACTGTCCCAGTAAGTATTGTGGCTTCATTTGCTAAATAATAACATATGTTCCAAGGAAACCATGTGAGGAACAATAACATTGATGGGACCCTTTCTGTTTTCTGATGATTAGATATATGCTGTTCTCTTGCCTGTGGTGATATTCCTGTTTGTCTACTCTCGTAGGAGAGACATCTATGATCTTCATCATGCCATACTAGGTGATAACATCCTGCCTTCTACTTACCTTTTTATCGGTAAAAGATATCTTCCATGTCCGCTGAAAAAATTCTCATGATGCTTTATGTGTGTTCACTATTGCAGGCCTCTTATTCTCCATTCTAGTGACAGCTGTCATTACTGATGCAATAAAAAATGCAGTTGGTCGGCCTCGACCTGATTTCTTTTGGCGTTGCTTTCCTGATGGAAAGGATGTATGCTTTTATGGACCTGCAGTTGTTACTTTCTACTATGACGATTCATATAAGATCCCCTCCTGTCCACATTGGTTAATTTGTTACTTTCTACTATGACGATTGGTATAAGATCCCCTCCTGTCCACATTGGTTACATAATTTAATAACTGAAACCTTATTGATCTACAGGTTTATGATCAGTTGGGAAATGTGATATGCAGTGGTGAGGAAAGTGTCATTAAGGAAGGGCATAAGAGTTTTCCCAGTGGGCACACTTCATGTAAGTGTTCACCATTACAAATAATTTCTATACAAAACAATTAAAACATTCTCGACCACGAAGCTAATTTATGCCGAGTGATGATGAAATATTTTTATCCTACATTGAAATATGGAAATCTTGGTCAAAGCTGCAGAAATTGAACACCTCATACCAAAGCTATGCTGGTTCAATACTTTTGGCAGTCATTTTAGCTTTGAGGAATAATGATTTTCAATTTCCAGGGTCCTTTGCTGGTCTGGGTTTCCTATCACTCTACTTGTCTGGAAAACTACAAGCGTTTGACCGTGGGGGCCATGTTGCAAAACTATGTATCGTCTTCTTACCACTACTAGCTGCATGTCTTGTTGCCATTTCCCGAGTGGATGACTACTGGCATCATTGGCAGGATGTCTTTGCAGGAGGTCTTTTAGGTGTGTTCCTTTTCATTGTTCATTTAGTCATCTAGATGAAACTTCCTCATTTTGTCTATTGGATGATTGCCTTTGCTAACTATTGCAGAGGCATCTTTTGCAGGACTAGTAGTGGCAACATTTTGCTATTTGCAGTTCTTTCCTCCACCATATCATCCTCAAGGTATGTTTGTTGGCAAATTTTATATGGCTCCTTTAATTTTTGTTGAACATTAGAGTCCAGGAAGGATTTTGATTGGAACATTTCATGTTCTTTGCTAGAGAATGATTAAGATTTAATTTTAAGCTTATCCGCCTTGTGCACGAATATTATTTTGATTAGACATCTAGGTTACAACTAAAGATATCCAATTAATACCTAGCTTCTTAGAGCATTCTTGCTATCATAGATGCAAGCTGCACGGCTGCGGCTGACTGCTGCAATTTTCTGGTTTTAGACCCTTACACTCAAATCAGAGTAATGGAAGGGGGGCTACGTTCTTTGTGTCCAAGATTGTTATGAAGCTTCTAATGCTGGAGCCTGATGCAGACTCTGATATCCAAAACATAGCTAATTCCCATGTTATTGTTGTTTTCTACGTGGAACTCATTTTAATCTAAGGGAGCATGCAAAATTTCAAGTTGCATTCTGCTAAATGGTTGTCTTAATTCTTTAGAAGTGTCAGTCACCAAATCTGACCACAACCTAAATGAATTGGCATTATGTTTTCTTCTCTGCGGTGACATGTTCACCTGACCTTGTGCATGCAGGTTGGGGACCTTACGCTTACTTTCGGGAACTCGAGGAGTCAGGTGCATATTCACAAGCAGCTGCTACTGTAAATCCACTCAATGCAGAGCCAATGGATTCACATGTTGAGAGCAAAGAAGGTGATAATGATGGGTTTTTGGGGCTGCATCTGGCACGTGACTCGACTATGCCTATTGAAGATGTGGAATCTGGGAGGAGGTAATTACTGATAGATGCAAAATTATCAGTCAAAGTTTCTCCTTTACAAGAAAAACATCATGTCCTTGTACATCTTTCATGGTGTTCAATTAGTTTGCTGCTTCTTGGCTTGTAGCAGGATTGGCCCTTCTGCTTTGTTTTGCCCTAACGGAACACATTCATTCATTAAATTGAACATAAACATAGCACATACTAAATGTAAATTGGTCAAAATTACAAGTGATGAATATCTTTTAACTCCCTCTGGATTATTGAATCAACAGTTTGCAGTGACAACAATTTATTTTAAAAAATTTATTTTAAAAGGGTGTTTGAAAACGTGATAGTATTTTTTTTTTGTAAGTGTTCTTTTGAAAAAAATACATCAAAATAATATTTTTTAATATTTAAAAAAAATTATTTTTAACACTAGAATATCAAAATTATATATATATATATCAACCTAAATAGGTATTTGGAAATCAAGAGTTTCTGTCAAAAGAAAGGTAAGAGGGATCAAAAAGGTATGTGTTGTATCTTAAAGAGTTGTGTCTTACTATGAAATAAGCTTTTGAGTTATCAACTGTGTATTGCAAGTTATTTTGATTTGAAGTTCATGTAATGGAAAATAAATTCTTTAATAGGGAAGTTTTATTGATTTTTAATTCAAAATGCAAGCGGCAATATTAGCATTTTTTTTAGTTTCCCTGTCAAGATATTCTAGGATTAAGTTTCAATTGAGGAATTTAATGATGTTTAATATATATTTACATTATAGAAGAGAGATACATATAAGAAATCCGAGGTTTATCTCTTTTTCAAACTATAAATATCTAATAATTAAAGGTCTAGGATCATAAAAAATTTTATTTGATAAGTCTTTCTGTTATGATATGATGAATGCATGTAATAATTACAATTTAAACATTATAACTTTTATTTATTTATTTATGCGTCGAGATGGGATTGAATCTCTTTTATAATTGAGTTTTAGAAATTGCAAAAACATAGTTTGCTAGAATTTCAAAATGAATATAATGGGAAACTTTTTTTTTTGATAATTCATGCAATTTATTTTTATATAACCTTCAATAAATTCTTACATTTGTAATTATATCTATTATGTCTTTTTATAATAATATATTTTTATTCCAAGTTTAATTTTTTAAACTAACATAATTATATTTTTCATTTTAATAATATTCGAGTGAGTGAGGTGTATATGAAAATAAATTTAATTTTCAAAAAATAATTAAGACAAATTTATTTATCCGTGGGTATGTATGTGTGTGTATAAAATATGGGAAAATTTTATGATGTCTAATTATCCTCTAATAAGAAATAATTGATTTGCATATGCCCAACGTCATTATGTGAACCATTAACAATTTTAATGGGAATTCTCCTGATTACTCAAAGTTGTTATGGAATTTTATGATTTAGAGTTTAATTTCAAGATAAATTTTTAGTTAAATTAAATAAAATTTTAACCGATAAAATTCATTTAACCCCACTAAGTTTTTAATAATTAGGATAATTATGTCAAATCCAATCCAAATATATATAAAAAAAGGCTTATGCTAAATATGAGAAGTTTAAGGTAAGAAAAGTTACACTAATATTTGGAAAAGGCAAAATGGCCACAGAGAATGGCAAGCAGAGTTTATGCTCAACACAACAATTCTTTCCATACTTTTTAAACCTGACTCAAATCTCGATTCAGAAAAAATGTCGGGTAAAAAACAACGAGTTAATTAAATAAATTTTATTTATTTATTTATAAAAAATAAATAAATTTTGATTGAATTTTCTTGAGCTTATCAAGTTACGCATCAATCTAAATTTTTATTAAAGCTATACCAAGTTAATTTTTCTCTTATTTTTTTAATTAAAATCCAGCTTAATTTAAACCTTGAATAAGTCACCGGTAATCCTACCAAGTCGGTTAAAGTTACATGGCAGTGATTCATTCATTGTGCAGGGTAAGAATATTATTCATAAATTACCATTTTTTGGGTTAAGAAAAGCAAACAAATTGATAGGAATATGGGTGGGTCCATTTGACACCAAGGCAAGATAAGAATGTGCAATGGGCTGGGAAGCCGAGCTTATAATAATAATAATAAGGTCCTGTATGAGCGAGTTTTTTATATATAATTATTCTTTTTTATATTAATATTAAAGATTAATTTTAAAAAAATAAAAAATATTTTAAAAAACCTTTTCGCACACCGAATGCCATTTCATGATGCCTAATTATTCTTTGATAAGAAACACGCAACTTGCGCGTGAGCACATGCTTATCCAATAAATCAATTATGAATAGTAAGTAGCATCTGATCCATTCACGTCATCATGTGTACAATTGACGGCCCTGATGGAAAACTCTATAATAACCAAATCCCTGATTGGCTAAGGCTTAAGAGTCAGAGGCACAAATTTTAATCAAGAGAGATTTTTACTTTCAATGGCAGAACCAAAAGCAGACCAAAATTATCCTTCACCATCAGGTACAGTGTTATCAATTTAATTCTGTAGATTTTCTTGATGGGTTTTTGAGTAAAACATAATAAGATTATATTTTTTTTGCTGTAATTTTTTTCATTTTTGATGCAGAAGAAAAGGATGTAAAAGCGCCAAATGTGATTGAAAGAGTCAAGGAAGAGATAGAGGCAATCGTCCATAGTGGAAAATCTCCACGCCATCATAAGGAAACACATGGAAGAAGTGATGATATTGATGAGGATACCCCCATAGATGAAGTAAAAGGACCAAGTGTGTTTGAACGAGTCAAGGAAGAGATCGAAGCCCTTGTTGGGGCTATTCATCCTAAGAAGGACAAGAGTGACGTGTCTTCATCTTAGAGGGGAGATGGAGTGGGTTGGTTAATTTGTCTTTTGTTGTATGACTTATGAATACACAAGTTAATGTTTTAAGCAACTAAGTTGTGTTCTTCATGATGGCTGGCTCTCTGTTTCAGTTGAAGAAGAAAAAATTGTTTCTGTTAGGTTTCTTTTGCTGGGGTTTTCTAGCAAACATTATTTAGCTGCTGGCTGCTGTGTGTATTATCCCTGGTTTTAGACCCAGGTAACCTCAAATTGTGGTAATTAATGGAAGTGGGCAATGTGACCGATTTTTTTATTTACTCCCTTTCGTGTGGAGTGCTCTGTAAGATTTGCTGCTAAGAGCTTCAATGAAGCTTATGCAGGCTGGAGCAAGAAAAGCTTGGAGTTCGTTTTGTTATGTAATTGGTTTTTGTTTGTATCCACTGAAAACTGATTGTTGATTTTTTACGTCTTTTGAAATCAAAAGACAAAAACAAACAATTTATCAGTTTATTGTTTTCAAATTTGGTTTCAAATGATACCGAATGACCTCTTTCATAGTAAAGCTATGTGTCAATTTGGTTAGAGTTTGAGAACAGATTGTCATTTCTGCTGGATAGCCAATTCCCATTGACATTATGTTTTCTTCTGTCAGTGTCTTGTTTGTCAGATTTCCTGTTTGTAGGGTGGGGACCTTATGCTTCCTTTGAGCAGCTCAATGCTCTGCTGTTGCTTCTGTAAATTGGTAAAATTTGAAGTAAAGCAGACATTTCGATACCCACCTGGTTCGCTATAATGTTTCTGCATCTGCAAAGTAATTCTTTTGGATGAAATCTGCTTTGGAAAGGTGCAGTTTGCAAGAAATGGTTTTGTTCTCGCCAAAAACAGGGCCGCAATAGAGTGTCACTGATAGACCTCAGGAGCTGAGGAGCTGGAGTCTTGACTGCTAAGGCCGGCCTCAGCAGTTCAAGTAAGGGATGGCAATGGCCTCCGCCTCCAATTATCCGAATGGATGTGGGTGTGTTTAGAGTCAAGAATGTATCCTCTTCTTGCATGGAGTTCCATATCCAATTATGTAAATTAAAAACATGAGATTTTCACCACACACGGCTCGTTTAATTCTTTCGAAGTCATTGGAGTCCTTTCATCGGTTGTAATGAATTCTACATTAGACTATCATATATAAATATGTAAGACCCTACTTCTTAAATCTAATTTTATATCAAAGAACACTCTGTCCAGCTCAAATGTAAAGAATCTTTGGCCAATTTTAGTGTAATCAAATATGAGGGCCTTGTGGATGTAGAATTCGAACCTCCGATGAGGTTCATCCTTCGATGGAGGTGGAGATGGTACCTTGCAATTTGACTCGGATGGGTATAGAGGCGGTGATGAAGGTAAAGCTAAATTCGTGGAGACAAAGGTGGAGGGTGCATTATCCGTTTTACTTAAACTCCATTACCATCCCTCGCTCAAGCCCTTGCTTTGAGAGAGCTTTTCAGAGTGTCGTCAGCTTGTGTTTGCGTGTTTATCCATTACCTTAATTAGAAGCACACTCATGCCAAGTCGAGCTCAATAACATATGTTGATGATTGGTTCTGGCTTTCTAAATCTAAACTTTTCTGTCGAAAGATTGAAAGAAGGTCTAGCAGGATCATCAAAAGGCCACACTCGACTTTGCTAAGCATTTTTCACTTGTTTTTACTTCAACTCCATGACCTCAGAAGTTTACTTGTTTCCCTAGACAGTTTCCTATTACGCAATCAGGTTACATTGACATCCCAACGGATTCCAGCGGATGATGAGAGGCAGGCCAGTTAATCTTGTGTTGCAAACTACTTTCGCTTTGTAGCTCAACTCAATGAACTTGAAAGCCTTTCGTGGAAAAAGGGTGTGCAGGTCTTGCATAAATGCCTACCATTGTAACGCTTTTTTTCCCATCAAAATGCCTTCTGTGACAAGATTTGAACCAGAGAATGGAAGTGCGTCTTCTGCCCTAGTCAATCTTTTCATGAGTGTGCACATTCAAATGAAAACACAATTCTTTTTTGATTCAAACTCAAAATAATAATGCAGAATACAAACTCATTTATCACGAAAATCATAAAACAAAACACAAAAATGTCTTCTTGACAGCTTCTTAGTTAAAATAAAATCTCAATCACATGCCCTTTCTTGTTAGAATCCAGCCTTCTTGAAGTAAGACTCCAAAGAATCTAAACTAAAACCATGCCCGAGCCCATTTCCATATCCAAACCCGAACCCAACCCCACAACCCATACCAACCCCAAAAACTAGCTTGGTGTTGTTCCATGGCCAGCTACCATACCCGAGTCCACCCACCAACCCGAAGCCTGCTCCAATACCACATCCGATTCCAACACCGCCCCCAGGACCCAGAATGGTTTCCTCTACTTTCTTGTAACCGTCTTGAAGGAATTCGGGTACCGGGAATTGATTCCCATTCTTTCTCTTGCTGTCATTTGTATTCCATATCCAAAGGGAGTTGGAGTTTTTAGTCTTTGTGTGGGTTTTGGATTTTGGCTTCATTCTACGAAGTGAGCAAAGGATAAGATTTTTGGAGAATTGTGGGGCTATATGGCGGAGTGGTATTTGTGCTTATGTTGTATGCTATATAAGTATAGGCAATACAAGCTCACTACAGGGGAAATACTAAGATTTCATAAGCTGGGGGAGGGGGACTCAATATGGAAAAAGAAAAGGAAATACAAGGATGGATAGTAAATAAACAAGAGTGCGAGGGCCCCTCTTAAATTGAACTATTGAAGTACCCTTGGTTAGTCCTTGGATAAAGAGGGTAAATTTTAGAAGAAAAACAAAAGGCGAGGGTTGATCTGATCAGACAGTGGTGGTTATTTTTTGAGTCACACCAATTCAGAGAAATTTTACGCAGTTTATTGGACCAATACATTTTTAATTGGTTGACATGGTTTAATTGATTTTTTTTTATTTTGATTAAGGATAATTTGCTTTTAACTATATTATAAATAATAAATTTAGACTTGATGCATGGAATCTAAATACTTGATTAGGAAAAACATAAGAATCTTTAAAAATTGGACATGGAATGCCTTGAATAAAGGCCAATATTAATAAAATACATATAAACATTTTAATATAAAAAAAATATAAACTTTGAACACGAGGTAGTGTGACGTTAAGGATGGCTAATTTGCCTTGGTATCATTACACCACTAATAAACAAAAAAAGTCAGGGTGCTTCATCATGGAGTAAATTGTTTTTATTTTTAATTTTTTTTTAATTCTCTCTTTTAAATTTTTTTCTTCCAACTTCATCCTTTAATTTTTTATTAATTTTAAATTAATCATCATAATTTATTTTATTTTATTTTTTGTGAGATTATCATAATCTTAAATAAACATCTTAATAGTTAATTAGTGCTTAATTTTTATAAACATATATTTTTTTTATCATATCATTAAATATGAAATATTTTAAAAAAATAAAGTTTTTAAACCTAGTGAAACTCATGATTCAAGTTGCGAGTTAAGTCGTAAAAATTAATATAATCTAATATATTATCAAGTTATTTTTGAACTTGTCAAGTCAAAGAAATAATCTAGAGACTTATGTATGTTAATTTTAAATTCAGGTTGGGTAAGAAGTTGGGTTGAAAGATTTAAAGTTTGACTCGCTAGGTTGAATTTAATAACAATACAAAATGATTTTATTTTTTTAAGCTTTGTCTTCTATTTTTTTTCAATTGAATCTTTTTGTATTATTATTTTTTATCAATTTCATCTTTTAAAATTTGGTTGGTTATGAATTGGTATATATAATTTATTTTGATTTTTTTTTATAAAATTATCACAATTCAAACAAACATTCTGATAGTTGGTCAATGCTTAATTTTACAAGTATTTATTTTTTTATCATGTCATTAAGTAAAAAATAGTTTAAAAAACAAAGATGTTAAATTCAATGGTGGAGTCCATGATCCAGATCATAGGATTGACGAGTTAAGCTACAAAGTTTGGGTTATTTTAATATATTATTATTTTAATATTATAAAAAAATATTATCTTAATTTTTTTTACTGATTATTTAGATTATTTTTAGATTTTTTAAATTGATTGAATCATGTCGAGATAATTTTTATGTGATATAGTTTGAAAATCAGACTTGACAAGAAATGGAGTTTAGAGTTTTTCAAATTAATTTATTAAATTAAATTTAATAATAATATAAAAAATCCACTATAAGAATATTTTTTTAAGTTGATTCAACTTGGCATGGGCAGGAAACAATTTGTTCACTAATACCTTTGATTCCCTAGGAAAGGCTTCCTTTTCCTTTGCATCAAGAAGATAAAATCCAAAGTAATAGTGCGATACACTTATTATCTGAAACTTTATCACCATATGTGTTATTTTTAATCTAAAGTTAGAATGAATTTTTTTTCTTTTTTGATATAGAAATTAGAGTTGACTTTAAATTAAATAGGGATGTCAAAATTTATCACTAAAACTGCACTAAATCATGTACATTCAGAATTAATTCACTTAAAAATTTGATTTAGTTGATAGGTCAAGGATACTAATGTTTGTTTCTGTATTCTAAATTATATGTAAATACATTTCAAAAATACATTTGGTTTAGAGAAGTAATAAATTAATATTGTTTAATTTTTTAAGATATTTTTATGTATAAATGTAAAATATAAAAAAAATATAAAAAATATATTAATATATTTTCAAACTAATAACGTTTTTAAAAAATATTTTATATTACAATACTAAATACTATCTAACTCGTTGAATCAATTAAATATAACCAAGTTAATTATTATTTGTTTGATCATAAAACCTCGATAAAGGGGATGGCAGTGCTGGCAGGTTTTAATAATTGCTCTGACCTCCTTAAAGGGGTAAAGGTTTTTTATATATTTTATATTACTAGGATGTAATTAGCTTAACTTTAATGTTTCAAAGTGAAATTCACCTAGTTTTAGCAAGTTTTTAAGCTGGGTTTGTGTTTATGACAAGTCTAATACATGAGCTGGGTTTGTGTTTATGACAAGTCTAATTCATAAAACTTAAAACTTGTTTAAATTAATTAGACTCGAGCAGGTCTACAATGAGCTGCGTCAAAGTGAGCTTAATTAGATGTGTTAAAAGTAAGCTTATCCAAAAAAAGGCTTAAGCTCGGCTCGAGGTTATGACAAACTTAGTTAGGTATGAGGTTTAAGCTAAACTTGTTTAAATTTGTTTAAGCTCGGCTCATCTGGATTGCTTCACAGCCTGGGCTAAAACTTTGATATATACTTATGATAATATAAAAATTGAATGTAATAAAATATGGGAAAATAAATATAGAATTATTGTTTTTTTTGGTTTTCTATCATTATAATTTTTTGTGACGTATTATGAACATATTCCAACTGAAATACCAAATAAATAGCAATACAATAACATATACTGTTCAAATACTTCAATTAATGCCTTATCAGATATCAACTCCTTGCTTATTGAACTACAATAGAAACTCTACTTATTTTTCTAGTTCTAAAATCCCATAAAAAAATATCATCAAAAATTAATTAAACACGAAGTGTATCTCAGTCCTTATAACTCACACATGCATATAATTGCTAAATCTGTTATTAAATTTTATTTTATTAAATTAATATATTTAATTATAATAATGTTTTAAAATCCAATAAGCTCAAAAAACAAAAGTTTCTTGAGTGTTTGGACAATGAATACTCATACATTCACATTAATATTATTTATTTTTAAATCTCACAAGATAGATGGTTGATAGTAAAAGATTTAGCAATTTCAAAATAGTTTTTTTTATGGAATTTAAAAACTTTCAAATGATAAAATCAATGATTTTTAATAAGAGATTGTGGAATTCTTATTTTTTATGATAAATGCTTTGAAAACAGAAATATAAATATTTAGAGAATAAAAATTATAAACCCTTTACCTAAGTAATTCGAGGGTATATATATCATTTAAACCTAGTCATGTTGCTTGAGTAGAGGAGTTAAAATGTCATTTTCATTTGATAGCATTAATAAGAGATAAATATCTTTTATATAATATTAATGTTGATAGAAATATAGTAGGCCATTAGAAAACATTTATGCATTTAAAAATATAGAGAGATAATTATTTTTTACATTAACATTTAACATAGTCTTGTGACCTAATATAGGGTCTATAGCGATCCTCGTATCCATATCTACTTGAACTTTACAAGATGTCAAGTCCCCTAATGATGGATCTAGCAGCTAGCTAAATTTATGCTTATTTTGGCTCAATTCATGGCTAAATCAAACAACATTAAATCTGATAACTTGTTAACCTATGTATACTTGAACTTAACACATAATTAAACTAAAAAATATTAAGTTTGGCAACTCATCAGACCTATATATATTAGGTCTCAATACATAACTGGATTTAAAAATATTGAGTCTGGTAACTCATGAGATTTACTATATCTATTTCGCCAAACCTATATATACTAAGGCTCAATACAAAGCTGAACTCAAGAATATTGAATTTGATAGTTCATTAGACCTATATTTATTTGGGTTTAGCGAGTAGTTAAATCCAAAAATGTTAGGTCTGACAGTTTTTCAGAACCATATATACTTGGGCTTAGTATGTAGTTGAACCCAAAAATATTGGGTTTGATAGCTCATCATGCTCAGGTCAACTTGGGTTCGGCGCATAACTGAATACAAAAATATTAGGTTTGACAACTTAATAGACCTGTGTTTGCTTGAGCTTAGAATATAAATGAACTTAATGATATTAGTTCTAATAACTCGCTTGATATATATATATATATATAATTAGACACAACGCGCAGCTGAACTTAAAAATATTGGATCTGAAAGCAAATTAGATCCATATTAATTATGTCTAACACTTTACTAATATTAAATTATTACCCTACTTTTAACCCTTTTAAATATGAGTTTAGGCTAAAAATTAAATTTTAAAAATATATCGGTCCATCTAATTATATATTAGATTATTTAGTTAATGAAATCTTATATAATCTTTTTTTCTTTTATATAATTACAAGCTCACAGAAGAGCTAACTCACAAACTTACAAATACAAACTTACTAATTAGCCTAATTGTCCATATCTGTTAAAATTATGAGTTGATATATAAAATTATATAATTTTATAAATTAAAATATATTTATCATGTAAAATCCTTTTAAAAAAATTAAAAATTAATAAAATCATATTAAAATCGTGTAAACTTGCGATTTTACAACTGTTTTTTCGTTTTCATGTAAAATATAAATCCATTTCAATTTGATACGTGGATATGATGAATCGTTAGTTGAGGAGTGAAATTGTTTCCCAAAAATCATTATTTTCTTCTTCTTCATTTATTTTCCCAGGGCATTAGACACAGGAGATAAGCGAAAGCAACATGTTTGACTAATTTTGTCGGTGAAATCTATATTAACAGCGCAGGAATTTCTTATTCATGAAAAATTAAGAAAGTACCAATTTTACAAATAATTAATTGAC